AGTCCTGGCAGAACATGACAGGCTCGTGCTGACTTGAGCCAACCAGATTTGCTGCACTTCTTTGAGACAGAAGGGGGAAAACCTAAAAACTGCCAAGAATTTCTCCTGTGTTTTCTGTTCTTGGCCATGTTTGCTGCAGTAGCCCAAGACGTTTGGGTAAAGGGGCAGGAAGGAGGCCTCTGACATGTCATCTCTGTCTGAATTTCAGACCTGAGAAGTGCAAGCAACATCATCTTTTCAAATGGAGACTTGGACCCGTGGGCTGGAGGTGGGGTAAGCACGTGCACTCGCGCACACCGAGCAGGGGGAGCCGCCTTTCCAGGTGATAACCCCCCACCTGCCCCTCAGAGCAGCCCCAGCCTTTAGCCCCTTGAAATTTCTGCGAGAGGCTGCTTTATGCTGAACCATTCAGGAGCCTCAGGACATTAACGATGGGCACAGGGAACAGTGTCCATCAGCACTGATGCAGCAAAGGTGGCTTCACGGGTGCAGGCGCAGCAGGAGCCCCTTTAGCCAACACGCGGGGTCTGACCCACGACCCGCCGGGTTCCTGTGCCTCGGTGCTGGCAGCCGAGTGCTCTTTGCTCTCCCTGGTCTGAGCATCTTTGTGAGACCAAGCAGCTGTGGTAAGCAGCACCTCGAACCAGGGCGTGTTTTGGCTGAGGTTCAACAAAACTTCAGAGCCGTGGCAGAATTTAAAACCAAAAATGACCCCTAACTGGACTTGGAGTTAGCTGAGCCTCTGTTTGTGATGCGGGAGTTCCTTGGCCACCCCAGCTGGAAGAGGAACAGGCTCCTTAGGGTGCGTGAGCCCAAGGGAGCCGGTGACCTCAAACTGCCTGTGCTGGAATGGGTGGACAGTTTTTGTCTTGGGGGAAGCCTTCACTTCATTTGAGACATGATTTGGCTCGTTAGGACTGTTCACCACACACACAGCCTCATACTGGGGATCTCTGCGTGCCTCGGTCCTGCCCAGCTCCTCTTCGTTTTCTGAACTGGTGTCCAGTTCTGCCCCGTAACATAGTGAGAGTTTGTCTCTGCTGTTTTTCCTTCCAGATCAACAGCAGCCTCAGTCCTTCACTAATTGCCCTGACTATTCAAGGAGGCGCCCATCACCTTGATCTCCGGTAAGTACTGAACTCTCTTCTGGCCAACAAAATCCCGCTGCCCTGGATGTTTGATCTTAGCAAGCCACAGCGCAAAGAACCAGGGGGCGCTTTACTTACAGAGGGCTGCGTACCAGTCTGCGGCAGCCGAGCGGTGGGAGAGCAATCCTCTTCCCCGGTACAGGGCCCTTCCAGCCCGGGGGAAGCTGGGCTGCGTAGAACTACAGCTCCGAGCTCTCATACTTTTATTGGAACCTGCTCTTGCACAGGGACTGGCAGGAGTGTGTGACAGCCTGTAGCGATCAGTCGCGTCAAGTAGTGCAACA